GCCACGCAGCCTTGAAATCTCGGTATTCTTTCCTTTCTGTTGCTACTCCAATAACCCTAGGTCAGGCTCTTCATCATTTCATTTGGCTATAAAGGATTCCTTGCTGGTTTGCGTGCTTCTACTTTCTTTCTGCCTTTGAACTATAGTGCCCGAAGAATGTTTTTAAGTCATTTTTTTGTTACTCCTAACTTTACAAATGCTTTTTTTTTTTAAGATTTTTTTTTTAATTTATTTTATGTTATGTTAGTCACCATACATCACATCATTAGTTTTTGATGTAGTGATCCACGATTCATTGTTTTCGTACAACACCCAGTGCTCCATGCAGTATGTGCCCTCCTTAATACCCATCACCGGGCTAACCCATCCCCCCAATCCCCTCCCCTCTAAAACCCTCAGTTTGTGTCTCAGAGTCCATAGTATCTCATGGTTCATCTCTCCCTCTGATTTCCCCCCCTTCCTTTTGCCCTTCCTTCTCCTAATGTTCTCCATGCTATTCCTTATGTTCCACAAATAAGTGAAACCATATGATAATTGACTTTCTCTGCGTGACTTATTTCACTTAGCATAATCTCCTCCAGTCCCAACCATGTTGATGTAAAAGTTGGGTATTCATCCTTTCTGATGACTGAGTAATATTCCATTGTATGTATGGACCACATCTTCTTTATCCATTCATCTGTTGAAGGGCATCTCGGCTCTTTCACAGTTTGGCTATTGCGGACATTGCTGCTGTGAACATTGGGGTGCATATGGCCCTTCTTTTCACTACATCTGTGTCTTTGGGGTAAATACCCAGGAGTGCAATTGCTGGGTCATAGGGTAGCTCTATTTTTAATTTTTTGAGGAACCTCCACACTGTTTTCCAAAGTGGCTGTATCAACTTGCATTCCCACCAACAGTGTCAGAAGATTTTATTTATTTATTTGACAGAGAGAGAGAGCAAGCACAAGCAAGCAGAGCAGCCGGCAGAGGGAGAGGGAGAAGCAGGCTCGCCGTTCAGCAGAGAACCCGACGTGGGGCTGGATCCCAGGACCCTGGGATCACAACCTAAGCCGAAGGCAGACACTTAACTGTGCCACGCAGACGCCCCCTAACTTTACAGATTCTCTAATGCCAATTAGATAAAGTTGGGATGTGAGAGCCATCTGACAGACACTGAAACTTTACAGAGATAACCTGGCTGGTCCCTCATTGCTCAGCCATGCATCCTTTTTGAGGCCACAATTCGATCTTTATGTGTTCAAGGCTCAATACAATGTGGCTTCCAATTACCTTTCTGATTCTCTCTTCCTTTAAAGCATGTCAAGGTTATGTCCCATTATGGTAGTCTACTTCTCTACTAAACATGAATATTCCTCTACTCGTACATGTGGGCCACTGCCCTTGCCAAGCAGGTTCTCCTCCCACTTCTCTTAGGCCTGTCTTCCTGATCTTTCAAGGCTAGGCTGAAGTCCTGTCTCTTCCATGGATCTTAAAGACTTCCCTGAATGGTCAATTCATTACCCTTACTTACTACTGAGAAAGTATTGCTTACCTAATGCCAAATGATATAAATTTAGTATTTCAAATTAATATGTTGAAATAAATACAGTTCATGTCTCCTGCCACATCTTTTCTAATGTCAATTTCTGCTCCTATCAGCAAAAAAGACACAAAGTAGGCAGGATACAGGTTAAGTTTAAAAGCCACCAGGGGAAGGTGTGAAGGTGATAATTTCTAGAAAACAAACCCATCTTATGCTTTTGTAACTCCCGAAGATCGTGAACTTTATTTTCTTTCCCCTTCATCCCTTCACCTAGCAAAGGGCCTGGCACACAGTAGGAATCCTATAAATACTGGTGAACAGTACTTTATACCTTACAGAGGACAGTGTGTTTTTCTCACTCACTTAACACAAGGCATGATTTACCCCCATTTTCCAGAAGAAAATACAAAGGTTTGGAGACCCGTCCAAGATCATGAAGTAAGAAGGTGGCAGGAGCAGGTCTGGAACCCAAGTTTTCACATTCTTAATCTGGAATTTTTTACAAAGGACACAGTCCACCTTGCCTATTCATTAGCCTATGCTGCTCAACTCTAGTGCAGAGCAGAGCACAGCAGCACAGCATAAAACAAGTGAGGCAAAGCAAGGGCAGAGGAGAAAGTACACAAGTTCTTTTTTCCCTGCCACCTCTGTACCTCCTTTCTATTTCTCACATTAGCACAATAGCTGTTTTCCAGATACAACACGGGGCTACTTTAGGCAGTAATGATACTAGATATAGACAGGCCCCAAATAATTTCTTCAGTCTATTCTCCACAGCTCAAATACTGATTTTGATGTTCCCAGAATCTAGAACTTCTCCTAGACACATGAAGGGGAAGAGCCTAGGTATGTCATACAACTCTTCCTAGTAAGTGAGGAACGACTTTACAGTGGACAGATCAGGGGGACAGAGGTTCCAAAGATCAGAAGCGAAGGGCATATATGATCACAGAAGATGATGTAAAACGAACTCACTCATCTGTAAACTATGGATGATGAGTGTATCTGATTGATAAGAATGTCAGCCTCAAAAGGACAGAGATTTTGTCTTTTTTGTTCCCTGACATATTCCCAGTATATAAAGTATTCAATAATATTTACTGAAAGAATTAAAGAACGAAGATTGTTATGAGGATCAAGTGAGAATATGTGTAAAATGCATAGTAACTGACAAATAAGTGCCTTCCCTGATTCATGTCCACATCTGGGTATCTCCTAAGTTTCCAAAGTAGTTACAGTAAGACAAGTAGCAATCACATGGCCATTGTTTATCCTTGTGTAATTTTCCTATTTACCCTGGCAAGGACTAATAAGCATAGTTGCTTTGAGGTACTGATTCTTTCAACATTACTTTCTCTTCTTTTTTTGGAGGTGGGAGGGGCAGAGGGAGAGTGAGAGAGAGAATCTTAAGCAGACTCCACACTCAGTGTGGAATGCGACCTGGAGCTCGATCACCATGAGATCATGACCTGAGCTGAAATCAAGAGCCAGATGCTTAACCGACTAAGCTACCCAGGTGCCCCACTTTCTCTCCTTTTTTATCAAGGCAACACAACCATCTAAAATATAGAAATATATAAAGAAAATAAAAATTACCCATAATCTCACTATCTAGAGAAGAGTACACAATACCATTAGATTCCAAAAGAATATAATTACCATTTTATAGATTTTCTAAAATCAATTTTTTTATTTGCAGAGGCCCTGAACCCCCAAATTAGGTGAATTCCTTTCTTTCCCTTCAAATTAGCTTTGGAGAGAGCCTCTCAAATGCTAGCTAGCATATCTCACTTAGCACTATCCTGTACAGTGCTGATCTATTATAGAGAAATATGTCAAAAAATATTTTTATGTTTAAAACATACATCTACATCTAAATATTGATATATTCCTATCTATTAAAATGTTAAGCTATGTAACTGATCTATCTCTCCCTACATATATACCTGTAGAGAGATACATCTACATAGATTTATATGAATGGACTAAAAGGAATGCCATCTTACGTGTTCAGCTAATCAGTGCTGAAAGGCTGCACTGCGTTCTTGTTGGAATGATGCTAGATAATCTGTCTGATAACTCTGCTGAAGTTTCTTTTACTGCCCTTGTAATTGTTTCTGGTGAATACTTTTTACCCACTGTAGCTAAAAAAAAGTGAGTGGTAGTGCAGGACTTGGTAGATCCTGAGGAAATGTATTACTCTGCAGCTTTTATGGTAGCCAGAAGAGTTTCTAAAAAAATGTTAAGGAAAACAAGAGGATATCAACAGACAATAACAAGTGAAGAACAATTTTAAGAGGGTACCTAAAGAAAGTAGATTTGAAGACCTATTGTGACTTCAGAGGATATGAAAATCACAAGACCACCAATATGCAGTGGAAAGACCCCATCTCCACAAGACTGAACCACTCCACCTACTCTGTGCTGTGCCCACTATTGGCTTCTCCCTGTTTCCAGAACTGTAATCCCACTCACAAAACTGAGTATGCATGTCATGTCAAAAATGTTAAAACCAGGGGCATCTGGGTTGGGCGTCTGACTCTTGATTTTGCCTCAGGTCAAGATCTCAAGGTTGTGAGACTGAGCCCTTGTTTGGGCTCCACGCTCAGTGGGGAGTCTGCTTGAGATTCTCTCTCTCCCTCTCTCCTTCCCCACTGGGCTCTGGCATGTGCGCTATCAAATAAATACATCTTAAAAAAAAATGTTAAACACAGGAACCTGTCCTTTACTTAAGCCAAAACTCAGGAGCCTGTTAGTCTATGAATAGAATAGAAGCCTACAGCAGGTCCATCTCAGCTCTCACTGTTCTAGTCCTTAGATGGGTTCATGTTATACAAAAATAATGCGGAAAATTGATTTCTTGGCTTGTTTCTTCTAGGGTATGCTAACTACAGCTCTAAGCTGGACCTTTTAGTCATTCCTCATTTACCAGTTACTAGGAAGAATGTTCTTCCCTTTCTGAAGTCTGTACCTATCATTAATAAAAAGGTCTCAAAATATTCAAAGCAGAATCTATCATTATGTAACTTTTTATTTTATTATTTTTTAATTTTCAGATTTTACTTTTTTAAAAGTAATCTCTACACCCAGTACAGGCTTGAACTCACAACCCTGAGATCAACAGCCAGACACTCCACCGACTGAACCATCCAGGTGCTCCAAGTATGTAACTTTTAAAACATTTGATACCAACTCCAATCTGAAGGTCAATAGTTGAACATCAAATATTTTTTCCCAACTGTTACATGTGAAGGACTGGTACAGTAGGGTTGACGACGGCTTTTATAACAGAAAGATAAATATATTTTTGGTTCTTCTAAAAACTCAAACACTGATTACTGGTGGAATTCCATTTTGCAACTGTAATGAAAGAGAGCTAACAGAAACAAAATCTTTCTATTTATCTCTCTTTGGGATGACATCATTTTAAAGTCCATAAAAATTTATCTCAGAAGGTAAAGACTAAATTTACCTTATTTTCTTCTAGAAATTTCAACTTGATAGAAACATCATTACGCATTTTATCGTATTTTTCCTTATGTGCTTGAAACAGATGCTGTGACTGCTCAATCTTTGGCAGAGTGTTGGCATCACGTGGTCCAAGATTCAGTTCTTCCAAATCAGTGCGATATGCATCATATTCAATCCTGGAAAGAACAAAGTAAGTGAAGCATATTACAAAAACAGAGTGAAATAAGTTCAGGAGGTGAGCTGGAAATATATGGCAGTCTCATGTTATATATTAACAGATAATTCTCATACATATATTACACCTTATACTTTTAAAATCATATATTTCTTTAATACAAAGAGCTATTAATACAAGCATGGGGGGGGGAGCTGCTTATTAATCTCATTAACTATTTTTCCCAAAGTACAGTATTAACTGACAAGCAGAATTTCCAAAATTTAAAAACCAGTTTAAAAAAACAGATGTTAAAACCTAATGCCAACAAGATCAAGTGATCTATCTCACATGGGAATTGGTTAATACCAATAAGGCAAAGCATATGAAGACAGCAGACTTTAGGATGACATACTTTAACTGGTAAAACGAGCTACACTGAGAGTCAGCAGTCCTGAAAGTATAGTCTAGGAGCAAGGCACAACAGAAACATAATGCAAGTCACATATGTAACTTAAAATTTTCTAGTAGTCACATTAAAATAATAAAAATTAATTTTACCTTTTAAACAATATATTTTATTTTACCCAATATATCTACAATATTATCATTGCAACATGTCATCAATGTGAAAAGGTTGTTAATGAACTATTTTACTTTTGGGGGGAGTAGTAATGAGTCTCTGAAATCCATTGTATATATTACACATCTAATCACATCTCAATTTAGGCTAACCACATTTCAAGGGCTCAACAGATACATGTGGCTAGTGGCTACCATATGGGACAGAGTAACTCTGGATGGATTTCCATATTAGTATTTAGAACATGACAATGGCATCTATGACAGAGCGCTTAACACTTTGTGCTCGTTTAGATGCCTACTCCCTAATATTCTCCTACCACTAAAATAATTACCCCCCACTGCTCCATGATCACACTGCACCTCATAATGTCTCTATCACAGCACCTGTGTAAGTACACTACCAACTTGCTTATTATAAAACAGTGACTTATCCAGCAGTCTCTACTATTCAGTACTCAGTTAAAATCACTGTGACCTCTGATTTAGTCAAAATCAGCATCACAAAACTTATGCCCTAGAACTAAAGCTCTTTATTCAATATCTAAAGTACTATCTACATCTCTTACATCTATTCTGGCAATTAAGAATATTTTAAAGACTTAATTCATTCTTTTTAGAGACAGCACGTGCACATGAGGTGGGGGGGAAAGGCAGAAGGAGAGAAATACAAGCAGACCCCTGGCTGAGTGTGGAGCCCAACACAGGGCTCGATCTCATGACCCCAAGGAACATGACCTGAGCCGAAACCAAGAGTCAGACACTCAACTGACTAAGCCACCCAGGCACCCTTTAAGAATATTTTAAATAACATAAATTATATTCCAATCTGACTTGAGAATTTATTTTTATCTTGTACTGAATTTAACAAATTTGACCTTTCAGGGCCAGAAGAGAATCATTCATTCACTGATACACTGATTTATTCAACAAATATTAAGTGAGCCCCTTCTATGTTCCAGGCACTATGCTAGAAACCAGAGCTATAAAGATGAACAGATAAAAGTTTATCTCCAAGAAACCTGCAGTCTAGAGGGAGAGAGACTCTTAAACAACAAAATGAGGTAACGGTAACTGCCATGAGGGAGGGAGAATAAGGGAGAGTGGAAATCAAGATGAAGAATTACCTAATTAGGTATCTCAGAACAGAATTAAAACACTAAAATTAAATTTTAAAGGATGATAAGAGCTTCCAAGGTGGACTGCGGCAGGGAAATAGAGCAATCCAAGAAGAGAAAAGCACGAACAAAAGCACAGATGTGTAAGATACCACGATACATTTGGGAAGTAATTCAGTATGTCATAACCTGAAGTTGGAGCACGATAGTGGAAGGAATTAAAGTCAGACAGGTAGGCAAGACTGACATTAAGCAGGGCCTACAGGCCACACTAAAGGGATCGGATTTAATCTGGTAGGTCAAGTTACGTGATGGGAAGCCATTTAAGAACTCTGCTCTAGAAAGTGACATGTTCTACTTGTTCAGAATAGAACTAGGCATCTCTAGTAGTAAGAAATGGAGGATGGACTGGAGTAGATTAAGAAACAGAAACAAGGAAACCAATTAGAAGACCATGGGCAAAAGAGAAATGAGTCACTGAATCAAGACAATGGCAGTGGGGCTAAGAAGGGGAGACAGATATTAAAGATTTAGGAGGCAAGACTGACTTGGTAATGGTAACAAGTAAGTTAAACTCCATGGGTTCTCTAGGCAAACCGAAGGACCACTCTGACCTTTGCTGCCTCTCATGTCTTGAGCTAGTTATTCTATCTTTTTCTGCTGCAGTTTTTCATCTATAAATGAGAATAATAATCTCCATAAAAAATATAGAGTACTTAGGATACCTGGTAATAACTAGTATCTTTAGAGTGTTTATTATAATAGCCAAATTAGAAGAGGAATAGCCAGATGTAAATATACTAAAAACAACAAAAAATGAAAGAAGAAATGTAGAACAAAAATAGTGATATATGGTGATTTAACGTGAAGACAAACATCCTTCATCAGCCTCGGAGCACACTTCTAAACAATAAGATTAATATAAACATAATCAAAGTTATAATACTGACCTTATATCCCTTAATTTTTACATCCAGAGTTTGTAGATGGTATCAAAGTAAAACTTTCCATAAGAGCTTTTCTAACAGTGCTCATTACCACCAGGAAGAGAAGCACACTAAATTTTCAAAATGCAACTCCTTCAAGGTTGCCTCTGAACTGAATCCATATCAATAAAGTTAGTGATAGTTGGTTACTTTATGGCTTATGTAAAACTTCTACAGAACAGGTGTCCACATCTGAAAAGTCTTGACCACAACTGACTCCCTTGTTGGTGGTGCTGTGGAGAAGTGTTGAATGGGCCATTACAAGATTTTCTATACACGGAGCACCAGAGGGCTGGAAATACTTGTACACAATGCATAATAGGGAGCATTAAAAGGCCACCGGACATTTGCCTAAATTGCCACTTTTTGTGCTGATCAAATAGCTGACCCATGCCCTAAAAGTCAGTAAATTCTGGTTCTGACAGAGAAAATTCAGTTACTGAGAAACTTTTAATCTGGGGTTCTTTTTAAATGTTATCCCTCTGCAGGCAATGTTTTAGTATTACAACAATGAATCCCTCGGTTACTTCAATAAATAGTATAGGAAAGTCAAACCCCAAGCTAAGCTTAATGAATAAAATCACATTGTAATTTCAATAAAAAGAGAATAAATTATGAGGTGAGGTCATTATTGTTGTCAGTTTTTAAACTACACACATAGGTTGTTAAAGATTTCCTGATAACCAGCTACCAAGTACATATAACCTGATTTATAACTCTGTTCAAAAGTTTCAAATAAACCCATATATTAGACAGATTGAGATTTTTAAAAAATATTTTATTTATTTATTTGAGAGGGAGAGAGAGAAAGAGTGCGTGCTCGAGCAGGGGAAGGGGCAAAAGAGGGAGAGAGAGAATCTCAAGCAGACTCCCTGCTGAACACAGAGCCTGATGTGGAGCTCAATCTCACGAGCCCAAGATCATGACCTGAGCCCAAATCAAGAGTCAGACACTCAACTGGCTGAGCCCCTAGATTCAGATCTTTTACCACTTTGTACTTTAAGTCAGATATCTCAATATAAGATGTGAAAATTATTATTAAAGATGTTATTTTTAAGTAATCTCTACACCCAATGTGGGGCTCACAACCCTGAGACCCCGAGTCACATGCTCTATCGACTGGAGGTGCGTCATAATTTTTTAAATAGATATGAAAATTTGAGATAAATCTAGTTCAAGTTTGAGGCTGAATGATCAAAAGTAAAAGGTAGAAAGCCAATGGGCTCTCATTTTGGCTTTGAAATTGGCTCCAAATGAACAAACATTTAACCTCCAGAGGCTTTTCTCCTCCACAAATTAAAACATGACTCATGTACTGTTCAGTGACTTATCAGATGAATTTGTCCTTCTTTACTACAGGCTAATATTTGAAAAAAAAAAATGTTTACTTTAAAGTAAGCTATATGCCCAACATGGGGCTTGAACTCACAACCCGAGGATCAAGAGTCGCATGCTCTACGAACTGAGCCAGTCAGCCAGTCGTCCCATTATATCGGTTAATATTTTTAAAAGCGCCTTAGAAATAATGGCCAAAAAGATATTATATGCTAAAATAAAACATATTTTAAAATATACTAAACAAAAATATGTTTTAGGTACTAGAGATATTTTCAGGATAGGTGGACAATTACAAAGTACATAAACAGAAACTAGATTCATGTAGTTCTTGACTAGGAGGTGGTGGTGGGAATTTGGGAACAAAAGAATTTTCATCTTCAAAACCCAGAAAACAATCTGAAAGACTAGAAAATAAGAATGCTTAAAAGAATTAAAGAGATAAAAGGAAAAGAGTATTTATTATGAACAAATTAGGACATCATGAATAAGGAACAGATTTGGAAAAGAACCAAATAAAATTTATAAAAATAAAAAATATACAAAATATTCTTTTGAAAAATACAATGTCCATAAAAAGATTTAAATAGAGACTGGAGAACCAATTACTAAGAGTGTTACTGAAGGGATTCCTATTGAAGGGTATCTTACTGAGAAATTCCTTCAATGTTATTGAGGGATATCCTATTGATGGATTCCTTCTGTTTATTTTTTTCCACCTTCTGATTTTAATACTGTGTTAGTAAATAATTCAAACAATGAAGAAAAGTAAAAAACCAAGTCCAAAACCTAAATAGGGCACACAACCCCCCCCCACCCTTCTCTGACCAAACAACCACAGCTATTTATCTTGACCTTCATTTCCAAGTCATTAAGAACCACATGTTAATGCTAAACCTAAAATTATAAACACAGAATAACACAGAAGCATCTCTTGTGAAAAGATTAAAAGTTAACTTTCCAAAGGTTTTGGGCTTTTACTCATGTGAAGCATAAGGAAATACATACTTAAGAAGCACTCAAAAACTAGATCAGTTTAGAGTTTTCACAGCCATTTCTCCTATCATTAAACTAGGGTAAGGGGCCAAAACATAAAGTTACACTTCTAAAAAGTATAGTTTGTACTTATCAACTATGCTATAAAAAGTATAATGGGAAATAAGGATTTCAAGTGTTCAGAGGAAAAAAAAACAACCTCAAAGTAAGTCAGAATAGAATGAATGGGAGAAAAATTGGGCCTGGACTCAAAAGTTGAAAATGCTACTGCTGATCTGCTAAAATGTACTTAGTTTACCTAACAGGATGGTTATGAGACAGAGAAATTAATGAGTGTGTATGTGTGTGTGTATAAAATGTATGAAAACACTGCATTATAAACAGCTATGAAAATATGTAAAAGGTAAAATACAAGAGTTTGAAGCTGATTATAACCTAGATAAGTGGAAGGCTAGGTTGTTGGTATCCACAACATAAACAAAATCATGGAAGCAAAAATGAGCTTGTATATTGAAGAGAAAGTGAAACTGCAAGTCCGGCTATTGTACTGCTTCTACTGGGATGCAACGTGATAAGAACGAAGAGAGGCTTACGGACAGATTATAGAGGGCATCTAGTAACTACCTAGTAGAACACAAGGCCCTGTCCTTTTCTAAGGAAGTTGGAACTAGGAGATCCTCCACCTCCCTAATTCTCTGACCGGCAGGGTTGGGCACATGACCAAGGCTCAGTGAGACACTCTCTAGGCAATGAAGCAAAATATTCAGGGGCCTTTTGGAAATGACTTATGTAGCTGTGATAACATCCAGTACCAGAGGTACCCAGCATCAGGGTCCTAATTAGATTCCTAATTAGGTTCTTCTGAGGCATTATCTTGATTTTGATTCCTGCTTGTTTCTAGAATCTGTTCTCCTGCCTTTCTCTTAGTTCTATGGGCTATCCTATAACGTTCTACTGCATTCTTTTTCTGCCCATGTTAGCCAGAGTTGATTTCTACCATATGCAACCTAAAACCTTAAATGAATTATGTACCATCTGTAAGCAGACAATATAATGAAAATTTATTACCTACCTGGCACTTTCATATTGTTTCACAGTCATTAATGTGTCTTCAATTGTTTTATTCACCAAAGTGTTCACACTGGCAATGAAAAAATTAATGGCTCCAAGAAGAGTCTCTCCATTTTTAGCCAGTAGCTTCTGGGTATCTGCGTTATAGCCAAATTCTTCCTAAAACAATAAAAATCACCTTAACATATCCACTTATTAGTGAATGTGACCAAAAAAATCTCAAATGTATCACTAATGGGAAAATATTCGATTTAGAAAATATTTGATTTAAAATATTTAGCTATAGAAGTTTTCTTCTTTTAATGCTTAAATAAACAAATCTAAATCACAGCTAGCTATATAATTACCAAAAAAGTTTAGTAAACCAAAATTGTCATCAGCTCAGATGTATAGCTAGAATTAAGTAATTTTAAAAAGTTAAACTACTTTGTACTAGAAAGAATATTTTCACTTCCATGTTTTGTTTTTATTATACTGTAAGCACAGCTGTTAAGAAAAATATAGCAGATTATTAATCAGAGAAACTATAACTTTCACAACCAAATTAGGTTAACAATTGACTAAAACTTTCAGACATAAGACAGATTGCAATTTTTGTGTTTTGACATAATCTCCTTGGTATTGGTGTATAAATATTAACAACGCACATTTCTTTGTAAATTCAGTGACTAGTTGACTCCCAAGCTCAGGTCTACGTAGGTACACAGCTGGGGAAGGATCACTCAACACCAGTTCCAGTTCATTTGCTCTGAATAAACCGAGTCTTGGCTTAGAAAACATTACATGTGACTCCTTCAGAAATGGCAAGTACTAACTCTAAATTTTCAGTAGTGAAAGACTGGAAAGCTTTAACAGATTATCAGGACACATCCGAACAAATAAAAAATTTGATCATAGCTTACTGTAAGATGTATCATTCAATTTGAGAATTCTGAAGTTTGTTATGAAACACTTCTTAATGTCAGCTGAAAAATGTAATATGAAATTAAATATAATCTTAGAAAATGCAAGTTTAATGCTGGTGCTATAGATATAATTAAATTTCTAGGTGATAAAATATCCAATAAGTACAGGAAAGTAAAATTATTGTGCTGGGTTTTAGTATTTTCGGTTGGACAGGGACATTTTCCATTTAAGAGACGTCCATGTAACCTTTTTTTTTTTTTTTTTAAGATTTATGTATTTGAGGGGCATTTGGGTGGCTCAGTCAGCTGAGCATCTATCTGCTTTTGGCTCGGGTCATGATCCCGAGTCCTGGAATCGAACCCTGCATCGGGCTCCCTACTCAGCAGGGAGTCGGCCTCTCCCTTTGCCACCCCCCCATTCATGCTCTCTCTTGCTCAATCTCTCTCAAGTAAATAAATAAAACCTTTAAAAAAATAAAAAAGATTTCTGTATTTGAGAGAGAACATGCGCATGTGCATAAGTCAGGTGAGGGGCAGAGGGGAGAAGGGGAGAGAGAATCTCAAGCTGCCTGCTGAGCATGGAACCTGAGCTGGGGCTCCATCCCAGGACCCTGAGATCATGACCTGAGCCGAAATCAAGAGCTGGATGCTCAGCCGAGCCACCTAGGCGCCCCAACACTGTTCACTTATCACAATTTCACATTATAAACACTGAAAATGCCACAAGTCCTAATTAGCCAAAGGGAGATCTATACAACCTAGAAGGCTACTTTTACTAAAAACAAAAAAACCTATAGCATAGTAAGATGAAATAGCAGCAGATTGAAAAGCTGTATAGTAGAATTTGGAATACTATATTTACAATGAAAAAACAGGCCTAATTTCAAAGCAGACAGGAAGAGTAAACTGCCACTGTTCTGCTTCATTAATATAAACCCTATCTGTAATTCTGTGAAGAAAATAGAAAACTTAAGATTTTAACATATAATTTAAACTTAATTGGCTAGAATAGAAAAGCTTTTTTTTTATAGTAAGGTACAAGAGACATAGTAGTAAAAGATATAAAACAATTGGGACACTAGAAAGAAATGAATATATATATGTATATGCATTATAAGAAACACATAAATAATTAAATATGCTTTTCGGGGCATTGAAAAGTAAAACATGATTCATAAACAACTTCATTTAGTTGGTAAGTTATTTTAGTATTTTCGGTTGGACAGGGACATTTTATATATTATAAACTGCTTTAACAATTACAAATAAACTAAATAACTAAATATAAAGTAATCAAAGGGTATATACATTTAGAACAAGGCTGTGGTTCTAATCTGACACTGAACAGCGAAGGCCAATACAATTCCTCAATATTTGCTTGCTTTATACAGAGAGAGAACAAAGTTTCAAAACATTTGATTTTTTTTCTCTTCAGCAGCTCCTATATCATTTACAACATTTACCAGATGTAAATGACCACTATTTCCCCTTAAACTTATACATGAGGACCAAATAACAGAAACATCTGACTAGATCTAAAACACCCAGTTTTAGTACTATAAATTATTACCTAATTAATAACAAGTGGGTTAATTTAAATACAGAGCAATAAAAAATTATACTCACAGGTACTAATTGATAATTGACAATAATATGGGTTATGTGAACTTTTCTAATCTTGATGTAGATGTTACTTTCTAAATTGAGAAAAAACAATTTAATGAGGTGAGGTGCCATGCTTTAACAGAACTGGGAGTCAGAGGCATGTGATAAAATGGCAAAATTTGGGGATTCAAACAGTTTTGGAGTTTCTATCTTGTTCTGCTACTGATTGGATTTATCTGTTTTGCTAAATTCTTTGTGTGTCAATTTCTTAGTAATAATATGAAGATAATTCTCTTACAGTTTGATAGGAAGCGTAATGAGTGAGACAACTTGCTTAAAGTTCCTGACATTACAGGCATTCAAAAAAGTTTCAGGAGCTTGGCCATTTCTACTGCTCGATACTGTTGTTTCTCTAGAAAATGAAAGAACTGAGCTAATCTTTAAATTCTTCCTCAACTCCTAAATGCCGCAATCCCAAAACAGCTATCATAACCGTAATACTTTATTCAGTGCCACTATGTGCCATACCTGTGCTAAGTATTGTCAACGAGTCTCAGTTAATATGTCAGAGGGAAGTGGACACCAGCTCTTCATCACTGCACTATCAACTTTTTCTCAAAAAGAAATCAGCAGGCAAGGAAGAGAGTTACTTTGCTGGCTTGCATGTGACTGATCCTGATAACCAAGGGAAAGGAAACTGAACTGCTAAAGAAGAATATGCCTAGAATATAGGCAACCTCTTAGGACATCTCCTAGTACTGCTACCATGCTCTGTGATTAATGGCAATGGAAAACGACAACAACCCATTTCAGCCAGGACTACTAATGGCCTGGACACTTCAGGAATGAAGGTTTGGGTCACCCCACGAGACAAAGAACTGACAAGCTGAGGTGCTGGCTGAAAGCCAGTGCACTATGGAATGGGTAGTAGAAGCTAAGTAAGACCTTGTGACCATCTGTAGAAATGAAGACTATAATTGTTATGAGTATTCCTTCCTTATTTTGTTATCAATATGTGTGTATATGTATAAAGCAAATAACTTTGTTTTCTTCCCCTTGGCATACAACATAAGATATATTATTAACTTTATATCATAGTATTCAACTTACAGGATACCAAGGAAAAAAGTGAACGTCACTCAAGGACTTTGCATCCTCTTCTGGGGAAAAGGCTAATCTGTCTTTGATAGCATGCAGGATAGTCATGCCATGTTAGGTGAACGTAAGGCTTTGCTATTGCCTTTATTTGGAGATTAAGTATAGTTTAAGGATACGTGAGTAAGTGCTGCTAAACTGACAAAGGGTAGACTGTGATGGTTAATTTTATGTGTCAACTTGATTAGACTAAAGTGGACAGCTGTTTGGTCAAACACTGTCTAGATGTTGCTATGAAGATACAGATTTTGTAGATGTGATTAACATCTGCAATGATAAACATTATAGATATGATTTAAAGTTGACTTTAAAGAGATTATCCTCCAGAATATGGGTGGACTTCATTCAATCAGTTGAAGACCTTCAGAGCCAAAAAGACTAAAGTTTCTTGGAAAAGAATTCTGCCTTAACACTGTAACATTAGAAATCTGGCCTCGGTTTCTAGACTACTGACCTACCCTTCATATTTCAGACTTGCCAAGCCCCACAACCGTGGGAGTCAATTCCTTAAAATAAGTGTGTGTGTGTGTGTGTGTGTGTGTGTATTATGTATATATCTCCTATTGGTTTTGTTTCTCTGGAAAATCCTGATACAAAAACATCTATCCTGTAAATACTGATTCCAAATTTCAAACAATCTCCAATAGGTTCTAGTTTACCATTATTTTTATATTTATAAACATTGATTAAAATCTTTAATCCAATAAATCTTCTATTTCTTACATTATTTATTTCCTTCAAATCACTTCTGCATACACATTTGCCTTTAGCACTTGTTCACTAACAAATTATATCAAGTATATTTTGGTGCATAAGTCATCATAAAAGAATAGAGTATGTCTTTTTAGCAAAATAGGATAGTCCAAATTCTTGTCAAAAAATGTTGCATGGAGGCACCTGTGTGGCTCAGTTGGTTAAGTGTCTGACTCTTGATTTCGGCTCAGGTCATGATCTCAGAGTGGTGGGATCGAGCCCTGAGTCAGGCCCTGTGCTGAGCATGGAGTCTGCTTGTCCCTCTCCCTCTGCCCCTCCCCTCACTCGTGCGTGCCTGTGTGCATGCATGTGTGTGCACGCATGCGTGCTCTCTAATAAACGAATAAATAGAATCTTAAAAAAAAAGAAAAATGTTGCATGATGGACTCATGCCTATTGAATGACTAACTAGATAAAAATACCTGTGGTGATTAATTTTACATGCCAACTTGGCTAGGCCATGATGTCCAGATTTTGGTCAAACATTATTCTGGATATTTCAGTGCAGGTGTTTTTTTGAATGAGATTAATATTTAAATTGGTGGAGTGTGAGTAAAGTAGACTGCCCTCCACAGTGGCAGTGGCTCTCATTCAATCAACTGAAGACCTTAACAGAACAAAGACTGAATGCCCTGGAGCAAAAAGGAATTCTAACAGTCTGCCCTTGCACTCAAACTGCAACTCTTCCTTGAGTCTCTAGTCTGCCAGCCTACCCCACAGGTTTTACATGTACCAAGACTCCAAAATCCTGTGAACCAATCTCTTAAAATATATCCCTCTGTACATCTACACATCCTGTTGGTTCTGTTTGTCTACAGAACTTGACTAATACAGTACCATATTTCCTTTCTGTCCTTAAAAATTCACTGACTCTTGAATTTAAGAAAATTCATCTAGGATATCATCATCAGAAGACTCAGACTGGGATTTCACTTGTATTATCTATTTTGCCATCATTGTTGAGTCACTACTGCTGTCTCTCTGCAGTCATCTTATGATTTTGTCTAATAACTGTGAAATATCTTCCTCTGGTATTGTCTTCTCTTTGCCATTATATGAGCAAAAAATGAAAAATTCTAAATTTTCAACTATGTTGCAAAAACATTAAAAAAAAAGACTACAGGGCGCCTGGGTGGCTCAGATGGTTAAGCGTCTGCCTTCGGCTCAGGTCATGATCCCAGGGTCCTGGGATCGAGTCCCGCATCAGGCTCCCTGCTCCTTGGGAGCCTGCTTCTCCCTCTGCCTCTCTCTCTCTCTCTCTGTCTCTCATGAATAAATAAATAAAAAGTTTTAAAATAAAAAAAAAAAGACTACAAAGAGTATTTATCTATTATATTATTTTTTAAGGTGATGCCAGAATTCTTTTGTTTTCTTATCATTTTAGTAATTTTTAACATGGTTGGAAATAACAGATGAGTAGTGATGAAATAATTCCCAAGATGATGAAATAGCAAAATGTTTTAAGATCATTAAGATCCCATACTGTGTCTTTGATTTCCAGTGGACCCACATGGCAGTTGCAAGATAAAAAGTTGTATTCTGAGGGCACCTGGGTGGCTCAGTTGGTTAAGTGTCTGCCTTCGGCTCAGGTCATGATCCTGGGGTCCTGGGATCAAACCCTGCGTCCTGCTCCCTGCTCAGCGGGGAGCCTGCTTCTCCCTCTCCTCTACCCCCACCCACTCATGTTCTCTCTCATTCACTCTGCTCTCTCTCTAATGAATAAAAAATCTTTTAAAAAGAGTATTGTTAAAAAAATAAGTAAATGCTTGCATTGGAATAAAACTCATGAAGTATCAAATCCTTACAAAGGGTTAGAGATGCTCAAATAAGAAACTTAAAAATTGAAACTGGGTCTAACGGACTTGAATACTGAGGATTAACCTCTCAGTTCTGTTAAAAAAAAAAAAAGGATTTGACATCTAGAAGATAATAATTAAGTACCTACTAGCTACGACTGAGCATTAAATGACCTAATACATACATAAACCACTTAGAACACTACCTGGCATATAGTAAATCCCCAATCTGTATTAACTATTATAATTAGCAGGGTCTACTGAGTGCAGCATCACTGATAACACTGCTGTTAACACTTCCCCATACCCTATACCCTGGCTACCTCTTTCCTTACTGTGGGGATTTTTCTCTCTAAAGATTCCACTTAAAGAGGTAGCAAGAGATCATGGAGAAACATAGACAAGTCTGGTGTAGCTCCTCCCTGTGCACATGCACAGGCGAGCCCCACCCAGAGCTGCCTGCTCCTGGCCTCACTGTCTGTACATGTCCTTGGCTATGAAAACAAAACCAAATATGTGTATGTTTGTATATATAAAACATAAATAAATTACACATAGATATGATTTTCAGCTCTACGTTTTTTAATTCATTTATTTTATTTTTTTTAGGATTTTATTTATTTGTCAGAATGAGAGACAGAGAGAGAGTGAGAGCACACACAAGCAGGGGGAGCATTAGAGAGGGAGAAGCAGGCTCCCTGCTGGGCAAGGAGCCCGATGTGGGACTCGGTCCCAGGACCCTGGGATCATGACCTGAGCCAAAGGCAGACGCTTAATTTACTGAGCCACCCAGGTGTCCCACTCTACCTTTTATTAAAAAAGATTTTATTTATTAGAGAGAGAGAGAGAGCGCGCACGCACGCAAGCACACATACAGGTACATACATGAGCAGGGGGAGGAGCAGTGGGGGAGGGAAAGGGACAAGCAGTCTCCTGGCTGAGAGCACTCGAACACCAGCTCAACCCCAGCACTGTGATCGGGATCATGACCTGAGCCAAAAGCAAGAGTCATATGCTCAACCTGCTGAGCTACCTGAGTGCCCCACAGCTCCACCTTTAATTACATGAAATATTTTAAAAGAACACCAATTCCAAATTTATTAAGAGTTAAGCAAATCAGAAATGTAACAAATTACATCTTCGAATACTATTGCCATTCTCCTCCTCCACACTCTCCAACAGTTATTTAAAATAATCTTACATGTAGTTCTAGTGACTTCAAACTCAGGTCAGCAAATGCATCTCCAAGTTGCCTTTGGGTGTGCACCATCTGGAAAAGCTGGGTTGACAATGTCTGAGCCAGTCTTAAAATATTTTCATATTTTTTCTTGTTATCTCTTAATATATCAATCTGAGCTTCAAGTTCAAGGTCCACAGTTCTCGATCCACGGCCTAGCTTCTCAGAGATAATTTGCCGAGTGCACTAAAAGTGGAAAGATGCACTTTGTTTAGGAAGAAAAAAAAGAACAAAAGAGAAAGGAATAATATAGCAATCTGAAGTACAAATACTACAGCATTTGACATATACCATTTTTGGCTTCAAACAAGCTACCCTTAAAAAACTGAGAATTGTCAGCCCACTTAGAAGTTTATCAAGATTCAAAATAAACTTACCAGACATCTCTAATAGCTACTACTAACCAGAGGAAGTTTTAAGACTTAGAGAGCTAATTTATATACTACCAGATGAGCTCCCTCACAGAATCATATTTCAGGCTTAGCATACTTCGGTAGATTATTTACAACAACTGAGATACTTGGCATTGATTTAAGAACGTGAGTGGGCTGTTAATATAGGAATAATAAGCATATCAAAATTCTATTCTCCTGTTGTTTTCAAACGCTTTTTTTCCTTCTGTCGTCCTCTTAAATAGCTGTGTGTATGTGTGTGAGTAGGAGGAATGAAGGCAAGAAAGGAAGGAGAAAGAGATAAGAGGAGGATGGGGAAGGGTGGGGAGAGAGGAAGGGAAGGAGGAAAGAAGAGAGAGGGGTAGAGATGAGAGATTCCTGAATGCTTTTACTTCTGTCCAGAAAGAATAGTATTAAATTCTGTTATTCTGTCCTGCCCCAGAAATAATGATACAGGAAATTTTTTTTAGCAACAAAGAATTATAAGCAACTTCACCACTCAATAATATATTTTGAGAGTAACTATATAGGGCATTAATATACTCTTCATCATTTAAAGTCAACAAAAATATTCTAAAAAAGTAATAAATACTGCAATTTTTTAAATTTGCAAACTTGCTCTTTTATCTTGTCTTTCACAGTTTTGGTTACAGAATTGGTATCTATTCCATCTATTAAAATAATGAATGAGGGCGCCTGGGTGGCTCAGTTGGTTAGGCGACTGCCTTCGGCTCGGGTCATGATCCTGGAGTCCCGGGATCGAGTCCCACATTGGGCTCCCTGCTCAGCAGGGAGTCTGCTTCTCCCTCTGACCCTCTTCCCTCTTGTGCTCTCTCTCATTCTTTCTCTCAAATAAAAATAAAATCTTTAAAAAAAATAATAATAATGAATGAGATAAAAGGTGAATTTCCTCTTCCTTCCTTTAATCCCACTAAATAATAGAAAACTATTAACAGTTTGATGCATAGTCTAGACTCTTCCTTAAACCTCTATACTCACATATATAATATTTTTCAAGTAAAATGAGACTGTGCTATGCTATACATAACATCCTCTATTTCCTATGACCAAATATCTTGAGATTTTTCCTTGTCAATACATATAAATCTATATTTATCCTTCTAATTAGTATATTATATACTACTCATGTTTTTCTATTTAAAACTGAAATGAATTCCCTATATATTCTCTATTCTCATCAATTAAGGATCCTTGTGAAAAAACATTTAAAAAAAGGAGTTCTTTTTTTAAAAGGCAGAGAAATTAACTATATAGAAAATGATAGGAAAGGTGAGAGGCTAAACTCACAGAAGAGAGATGAAACTATTTCTATGGGAAAACATGAACACATACACTCTTAGAAGATGAAAATCACTTCAAGAGAAAAGCTTAACTGAAGACTCTGTCATTTTAACGAGGGAAACATCAGCAAAAATAATATCTGAAATGGTAACAAGATAAAGGAGATATACCACTTTTCATCCACACCAGGATTTTCCCTAAGCAATATTATCAGAGATTTATTCCATCTGAAAGCCAAAGCATATGGTACCTTCCATAGCAACCCAGATAAAATAGTCTGTTGAAAGTCAAGAAGCTAGAATTCACTGAAGAAGCTTGGCAGACTGGGCAAAATGAAAGAAATGCCTACTGTTGTCTAAGTGGCCATTTTTTCCCCAGAAATAATGGTTACAAGCAGACAGCGGGGTCAAGGGTTTAATGAGGAAATGTTTTTTGTTTCTAGGAAGCCAAGGCACTAAGAAGCATAAGGCAATATTGATTATGAAGCATGTTAAAATTTGGACACTGGAAACAAGTTTTGAAACGGACCTTTCCCACCTTGTATTCCAATATAGATAATGTGCACTCTTAAGGACAATCTAAGTAATCTGAAAGTGAGAGCACTCCAGATAGCCTACTTTGCTGAAAATGCAGATGACTTACAATGAGCTGACAGTCCTATTCAGTATTCCATACTTATAAATTAAGACTCCATTTTGAAGATAAGACAAATGGAGCAAGGTTAAAGCAAAAGTAAACTATTGCTCTATGTAGATCTCCTACTTGCGGGGAGGGTGGATGTAATAAAGTGATAAACACTGTATAAAAAAATACTATGAATCACCATCATACAGGTCTGAATTTATAAGATGGTCACTGTGTACTCTCAGTATTTAAACAGCACCAAGAACTTTTTCTGTGAATACCAAAAAGTGAATAAAAACACTTAAGTACAAGGAAAAGAATAATTTCATGGCAAAAGCTGATAGATACTAAAGAGTTATTAAGGGTGAAGGATAGGAAAGAAGGGAGCATAAAAGAAAATACTAGAAACTGAACAAGGGGAATAGATCAATCAGTAAATGAATAAGACAATATGGTAAGAAAAACAGGAATGAAAGTTTAAAAGATATTGGCTTATAGGCAACAAAGATTAATTTGATAAGGTGTGAATACTGATGACAAATTCGTAAACATTCAAAGAAAGTATTTGTTTGGAAACATGCCAAATAGCTCTGAATGCTGAAGCAGAGATTATTCTTAAATAAAATAATAATAATAAGATGGACTTCTAAAAGTACTGTATTCTTTTTTTGTAAGATTTATTTTTTTATTTTTAAGTAATCCCTACACCCAACGTGGCATTCAAACTTACAACCCAGAGATCAAGAGTTGCATGTTCCACTGACTGAGCCAGCCAGGTGCCCCTACTCTATTCTTTATAAAAAAAATTTTAAGGGGCGCCTGGGTGGCTCAGTCGGTTAAGCGTCTGCCTTCGGCTCAGGTCATGATCCCAAGGTCCTGGGATCGAGCCCCGCATCAGGCTCCCTGCTCAGTGGAGAGCCTGCTTCTCCCTCTCCCTCTTCTGCTCTCCCTGCTTGTGCTCTCTTTGTCTGTCTCTCCTCTGTCAAATAAATAAAAAATAAAATCTTAAAAAAAATTTTTTTTAATTTATTTTATTTTTTGGGGTGAGAATTCCTGTGGATAAGAATAAATAAGAAAATAAATAAATTTTGGATTCAAAATTTATGAATAAAATCAGGCAGATTAAAATAATATTTAAGAATACTTATATATCAGAGCCTAAACTTAAAATTGTTCCCATTATATATTTGGTTTAAATCACCAGGCTTTTTTTTTTTTTTTTTAAAGCAAATACTTTATTATGGCTTTACCAGCCTGTTTTTTGAGCCAAAATAAACAACCAATAAAGAAGTGCTAAATAGTCTCTGTGAGGAAAAGCCTTTAAGTGACTGATGTATTACAAATAGCTCAAGCCACAAATCCACTTAGTACCTCTGAATCTTAACAGGGACAAGACAGTAGAATTTAAAGAACAGTTGAGTGGATGAAAACCCTAGCTGTTCCCGTCAGAGCACTGGCCATACCACTCTCTATATTTGTGAATTGTTTGTGGGTGTAGCGGTTTGTAAGTCAGGAATTGTTTATACTTTTATACAGATACCTTATCTCTTCTCAAGAGTAATACAGAAGTGAATTTATTCTTTCAGTTAATACTTCTAAAATATGATCTGAAATTATCTACAAAAGTACAGGTTTTTTTAAGACGATAAAAGTACCTGAACCATGCTCATCAATCTTCCCAAAAATTATTTAGTATTTGTTAGAGAACAGAAACAGAAGAGAGATTAAAGGCCAAAAACAATGCAGGAACTGAAGTCCAAGAAAAAGATCAAAGTTGTAGCCAGAACAAGTTGCTCAACAGTAAAATGGATAATAAGTACAGACCTAAATCAACCAAATCAAAATCTATACTTGAAGGATTATCCAAATGACAATGAATGTCCTATATAGCTCATAATTTGGAATGAAAAGGTAAAAAAGCCATAAGAACAGAGTCAAGAAGATCCAATAAAGTCATTACACTCTGAGCTTGTTTAGATGGAGAAGCATATGCCAACCCAGACACACTGGCTACAAACTCCACAAAATCATGTAAGTTAGAACATTCTTTTTCTCTTCTATTTATTTTTTTAAAGTATAAATACACTTAAAAATTTCTTTTAAAGATTTATTTATTTGAGAGAGAGAGAAAGAGGGAGACTGCATGCAAGAGGGAGGAGAGGCAGAGGGAGAGGAGAGAATCCTCAAGCAGACTCCCCACTGAGTGGGGAGCCCAATGTGAGGCCTAATCCCAGGACCCCACGATCATAACTCGAGTCAAAATTAAGAGGAGGCCGCAGAGTCACCCATGCATGCCTAATTTTTTTTTTTTTTTTTAAAGTAAGCTCTAGGTCCAGCACAGGGTTTGAACTTACAACCCCAAGATCAATAGTTCCTCTCTTCTGATTTAGGTTGTAATATCCCAATTAAGCTCTGATGAAAAAAATTTTCAGTTAAAAATAATCATTCTGAGGAGAATGATAACTCCTTCATGTAGTATTACGCCATCTGTGCAACATTTTAAAGGCTGGTCAGTTTCACTAACATAAACTTTAAAAAGGCTGAATGTGGTATGTTAATATAAGAGATAAATATGGAATCTTAATAATGATTCAACTCAGATTATTATAGAGGTAAAAGACAAAAAATGGGGAATAGATAATAAGTATATAGGAAAAAAAGAGGGAACAAGGGAAACATGAACTAAAGGACACAAGAGAAGAAGGCTCAAATGAACAAAATCTTAAATTTTATAATTTGTAATTACTAAGACTTGGTTCAGAAGTAAGACCTGTATTTTTTTTAGGTGATAATTATTTTTATTAATTATTTTTTAAAAAGATTTTATTTGAGAGAGAGAGAAAGAAAATGAGCGGGGGGGGGGGGCAGAAGGGGAGGGAGAAGCAGACTCCCTGACGTGGGGCTCAATCCATAACCCTGACCTGAGCCAAAGGCAGACACTTAACCGACTGAGCCACCCAGGTGTCCTTATTTTTTTTTTAAAGTAATCTCTACAGCCAACGTGGGGCTCCAACTCACAGCCCCAAGATCAAGAGTCACATGCTCTACCAACTGAGCCAAACAGGCACGGCTAAGGCCTGTATTCTTTAGGTTTCAATGTGTGATCACAGAATGTTACTAGTTAGAGGCAAATTTCATGAATAAATGAACAAAGGAATGGTTGAATAAATAAATTTAATAAATAAATGAATAAAGCTCAGTTTGGTATGAAAGACAAATAAGTGAAATGAAAGGGAGCAAAAAGAGGAATTCTAAGCAGTAGGCAAATATAGTCTCATGAACAAAGTTATAGACGTGTGAGAAAGCATAGTTTGTTTCGGAAATCTCTGGATAATTTGGTATGGATCATGGATCCACTGGTGGGAGAGAGGAACAACAGGGGCTAACGTTGGCAAGGTAGATGGGTCAGATCCACGCCATTCTAAAGACAATGGGGATCAACCGAACAATTTCAGTAAGAGTGAACCACATTAGGCAGCGTAGAATATGCAGTCTAAGAGATTCTGTCAAGAAGCTAATTCAGTAATGTGAGAGTAACAAAGAATATGGACTATGGCTGGGAAAGCTGGAATGGAGAAAAAGGGATAAAGTCAAACAATATTAAGGAGGCAGAGTCCATTTAATGATAAGACGTATGTGGCATCAATGAGAAGATGAAGTAGAAATCTGGATAGCTGGGTGAACTGTTGTGATATGAGGGAATACAAAGGGAGAAACAATACATGGAATGAGAACCCACATACTTGATAACAAAAGGAGCAATAATTAAATACAATGTCCTGAATGAGAACAGTTGACGCTGGCATCAGGTTTTGATGACTACCATTGGCATTTATCAGGGCTACATTGGCATGAGGAAAATAATTTTTGGAAAGATTCATGAACATGTTTCAGGGGCACTTTTATCATCTTAAGAAAACCTGTACTTTCGTAGATGATTTCTGAAAGTATTCTGCAAGTATTACCTGAAAGAATAAATTCACTTCTGTATTACTCGAGAAGACACATAAGAGACATGTCCTCTGTATCAAAATACAGACAATTCCTGACTTACAAACCACTACATCCACAAACAATTCACAAATATAGAGAGTGTTATGGCAAATGCTCTGACTTGACTGACTAGGGTTTTCATCCACTCAACTGTTCTTTAAACTATTTTTTTTAAAGATTATTTATTTATTTGAGAGAGAGAAAGAGAGCACGAGTGTGAGCAGGGGGAAGGGCAGAGGGAAAAGGAGAGAGAATCTCAGGCTGCGCACTGAGCGCAGAGCCCGATGTGGGGTTTGATCTCACCACCCCAAGATCATGACCTGAGCTGAAATCAAAAGTCAGCCACTTAACTGACTGGGCCACCCCGGTGCCCCTAACTATTCTTTAAATTCTACTGTTTTGTCCTGTTAGGATTCAAAGGTACCATGGATTTGTGGTTTGAGCTATTTGTAATACATCAAATACACTATAGATTAAATAATTTGCTTATTTGTTTTACAGAGGCCATACAAACAAATAACCACCAATTACTCTGAGGCAATGCAACTAACAACAACAATACATTTCTGAAGTCCAACTCATTTGCAATGTGGTGCTGTCTATACAGTTAATGCTTAATTATTACAGTAAGATCAGATAATTCCAACTCTGAAAAATGACTACACCTCTTTGACATTCAGTTACTATAAGGTATCAAAAAGAGGAGGTAGCAAGAGATATGTCTATAGCAGTTTTACAGGCAAACATATTCCAAGGTAATATATTTCTTCTTCAATTATGTACTATCAATTAATAAGCATTTCTGTAGCTTTTTTACTCTTTTGCTGCTGACTTTTTAGCTACATTTATGCAAAGACCAATAAAACAGAGTACCTCATTTTCTAATTGCATTTTTATAGTTAGAGGCATTATTCTTTCCTATATATTCATATAATTGCAAATAATTTGAATAACATACAAATGAAAATTCTTAGAGCTAGTTAGGGTGGAAACATTAAAAAAATACAAACCTTGTAGGTGTTTAGACTCCATTTTCTAACAAGCTCTAACTTTTCCATTGCAGGATTTTTTATTTCATCTGCTAGAATAACTGGTCCACTTTTGGTCTGTGTTCTCTGGCCACCTGCATGATCATAACAGAAGATAAAACACAAACTAGATAAAGACAAGTAGGCAGAAAAAAAAAACCAAACCATTGATGCTATTGAAATTAAACTACTTATGCATTTAAAAATAAAACGGTTTCCACAAAGTAAAGGACTAGAACTTTCTGGAATAATTGAGGACAATTTCCAAACACTTAAAAAATATTTCTGCCAATTAAACACAAATGCTTTGTGGTTTGTCTATCGTCTTAAAAAAAAAAATGCTGCAACCAGCCTTCTTTTCTAAATAAGCTCTTTACTTCTAGAAAACAAAATTCCCACAATTAATCTTATAACCTAACGACCCTAAAAAAAACTGTGTCAGTAAAAATCTGGAAAGGTTATGTACTCTTCACAGTGATCTCCTTTCATCATACAATGTAGAACAGAGTTAACAACAGAGGTTACTATAATTTTGGAGGATTTAAAAATATAATTCAAATTTCAAATAGTCATTAAAAACATCTTACCACCAGTATGAAGGGCTAGGCTAAAACAAGACCTACATTGTACCTCCTTTTTTTCTCAAGAGACCACCCACCCTCCTGCAAAAAGCCATAATTAATAAAGGCAGTATAAAGCCCTGACAATGTATTGTTCCAACTATTAAGAAGTTATGACATAAAAGCAACTCTACCAGTATAGAGTTTCTATAGTAAAATATTTTTCATAGAAGAAAATAGTTAAATGCTTATGATACTAATGACTTAGAGTAAAAACTTTATAATAATTTAAAAAGAACAATGAAATAAGGAGAAGAGTAAAAGTTCTAAAAAATGGTTTTTAAAGTCAGAGCAAAAATTTCTTTTCTCACTTACTCCTACAGTCAAGACCAGCCTTTGCCACAACTTTACCATAACCTAAGATCAAGAACGGTATATAAAATCAAATACATTTAAGATTTACAAAATTCTCAAAGAAACAAAATGCAGAATGTTAACATTTCATATGTTAAAAGAAATATGTAGTTCAACTTTTTCCTGTTTTTATAGTCCAGCAATATTAAAGTATAGAGCAAATTCAATGCAAAGAAATGCATTTTCTCCAAGTATTTTTCATTGGGCATAACTGGTAAATTACATATTATTTTGTTGCAATCTGCAAGCTATCTGTAAGCTGTGGTTGAAAATAGGAAGATACAACATTTTCCACTTGACCCATTCCAAATAATGAACAACCCAATTGTTGAAGGCTCCTTTTTTGTTTAACTGAAAACAGAGAGCAGAGCTGCAAAGCTGAAGAGGATCAAATAAGTAAATCTACATTTTCCAGAGTTAAGAAAGCATGATTTAAAATGAATCCAATTTGGGGCGCCTGGGTGGCTTAATCGTCAAGCGTCTGCCTTCGGCTCAGGTCATGATCCCAGGGTCCTGGGATCAAGCCCTGCGCATCATGCTCCCTGCTCCGCGGGAAGCCTGCTTCTCCCTCTCCCACTCCCTCTGCTGTGTTCCCTCTCTCGCTGTGTCTCTCTCTATCAAATAAATAAATAAAATCTTAAAAATAAAATAAAATAAAATGAATCCAATTTTACAATGTTTTTTAATCTTAAAGTGAATTAAATTTCAGGTTTAAGATATATAGTTAATAACACTGAAAAGCCAGAAAAATAGGTATGTCTAGAAAGATTATTTCCATTCTTGTTAAAAAAGAAAGCAGCAGCCACCAAAAAAAGCCAGAATTACACACACCTAAGAATATAAAGCAAGGGATTATGAAACTGAGTGAATTAGTTTAGTTTCAGAAGTAGCAAGAAGGGCTTTATCCAATCAGTGCAGTGAATACCTGCAGGAACAATTAAATCACTTCCTTGTTGAGCCAGTCGACTAGCTGCAACCCTGCTAGGAGACATAACAGATGGCAATGGTGGTGCTTGGGAACCTGGAAAGGGTAGACATTTAACTGTGAAAATCCTTTTCCTCCTCTACATACTACACATTTTGAATATCGGTTTACTGACATTGCTCTTAAAATATTAAAAAGCTAGGATTAAAAACTGGAATTAATATATTTGCTTTCTTGCAGGAATGGACTAAAAATAAATGGATGTGATCAGGGGGAGTTCTTGTATAAACTTTTCATGGAACTGTTGAAACCAAACAAAACACATATAAGACGAAACTTGGCAAGATCACGTCTAAACAGGACTCTACCTGACTCTGCTATTTCGAAATCAATTAACAGAATACGATTAAAGTTCCATAGCCGGACAATTTAAAGCTTAAGTAAATATTTTATAACGTGCTACTCCTACATTCAAAGGAAAGCTCTTTAAATAAACAACGTATGTAATAATGTACCAAAATTAGAATTCACAAAATGTGAATGAGTCACAGCGTTCACAAGAATTGTAGTCCAAAATTTCACATCATAAATCCAATAGCACGTAGTGTAGATCACTGCTACTCACAGTATGGATGCAAGGGACCTACATCAGGGATTTCACCTGAGAGCTCATTAAAAATCCAAAAACTCAGGCCCTGTCCTAGACCTACTGAACTAGAATCTGCATTTTCACAAGATCCTTAGGTGATTTTTATGTATTCTGAAGTTTGAGAAGTGCTGATGTAAAGTGCTACTCTAACTAATCACAAGAATGGAGCTTTTAAAACATAGCTGGGCCACTCCACAAGATGATCTACTGATCATCGGTGGGTATCTGTAGGGTGTTTTTTTTTTTTTTCAGTTTTACCTTTTTTATTCAATTGTTTTTATTTATTAAACAAAAAAATCTGTATATATTTCAGGTGTATGGTGTGATGTTTTGATATATGTATTCATTGTGAAATGATTACCACAAACTAATATATCCATCACTTGTTTTGGTTACATTTCCATGGTTACTTGAGATCTATTCTATTAGCAAATTTCAAGTATACAATACAGTATTATTAACTATAGCCACCATGCTGTACATTAGGCATTTGTGGTTTTTTAAAAGCCACTCAAATTATTCTCAAACTCAACTGGAAGTTTGAGAATCATAGGAAAAAAACAATTTTTGAATGAAACACAACTGAATTTTAAATTCTTAACTCTGCATTTGAAATTCTGGTTCTATTTGCCACACAGTATCAGGAACGTCCTAGCAAATTAATTAATATCTCTGAACCTTAGTTATCTACAAAATGAGAAAACTGACTATCCAACATTGTTCTAATGTCAGGCATTAAACCAAATAAAACCATGTAACTTCAACTGCTTTCTTTATTTTAAATTCTGAAGTCTGTACATCTTTAAGGGAATGATAATTAAAAGTTGAAAAACTTAATATCCTTTCACATTCAGCTGAGAATATTTTCAAGTCTGTAAGGTACTTTTATTTCAACTACACTCTCCCAGTTCCCTAGAAAACATATAATGAAACAAATTTGTAATTAAAATGTTCTAATAGAACAGAAATCAAGATCAAATTTCTTTACTTAGAGTTAGTAAAAATTGGTTATATCCCAGATATACTAAGTTCTGTTGGAGAAATAGTCACCAGTTTTAATAATATGAAAACCTTAATCTGAACTAGATCTAACATTAAAATCCAAACATGCAATAGACCTAAATAGACTGGCACTACCTTTCAAAGTGAGAGATATTTATCTCTTTAAATCTGATAAACTGCAAAATTTAAAACTAGAAGGGATGACAGAAATCAACTAAGTCTGACATTAAACTATAGGAGAAATAAACCCCAGAGGGGTTAAAACAGCTTATCAGAGACTCAGATGCTCTGAATTCACACCCTAAAACCTCCATTATTAAATTCAATACAGAAAACACCAATCCATAAATTACTTAGTGAGTTGGAAGGCATTTTAATAGGTTATCCAATCCAATCACCATTTTAAACAAAGACTATCTCTACTATCCAAGGCACAAGGGTTTCTGTTGTATAAGCAAATGTTAAAAAAAAATGACTACTGTAATTCTACTTCTGGATGATCCCAGGAACAGAGCTCTGTTGTTCTGGTTATTACTGTTTATTAATCTTTCATAAATAATCCCATGACACAGGAGATGTGTATAATATATGTAACAAATGATACAGAACCTTCCAAACTAAAATAGCAAAAGACATGGTGCCCTGGTAACTGGGTACTTCAGCCTTTTCCTTTTTCTTTCATGGGTAATTATCACTTCTCTGTAACTTCAACCCTTTAAACCACTAATTTAGACTAAATTCATTACTAATATCATTCACTAATATCCAATAAAAAATAATTCTTAAAAATCTAAAATCCTGCTTATTGACTAAATTTTGAGGAATTAGTTCCATTTCACCTCAGTAACAGGAATCTAGGAATATGAATATATGTAGGTAATGATCAACACCCCACTAAAACAAAACTCAGGTATCAAGTATACTTCACTCTAATGAGCTTTGATTTATTCATGATTTCCACTATTACTAATTCTGCAATGTATTTGTTAGGTAGATTTCAATATTTGCTGTTGATAGGCTAAAGTTAAGTGTAAGTTCTTCTAAATTTGCTCTAGAGATGGAAAAGTAAATGGTTAATACTTTTCTTGAAGCAACTGTTCAAGTAATAAAGTCATTATTAAATTATTATTCAGTCATTTTTCCAGAGAGCTAAAACAGTCCCAACTCCTTTCACATTTTTTTCAGAAGACCAATTTCATACATTTTAATAGTGTTGCTTTTTCTCATGTTCATTCCAGTTTATCTGTAAATACTTTTAAGCAAAGACACTTAAAACAACTACAACTTTCTGGAAAAAAAACAAACTACAGCTTTCTAATAAATGCTTAACTAATCTGCATATGGCAGAATGATTCTTTTTAATATAGTAATCAACAATGTAGCTTATGTTAAAAAAATTATATAAAGAGAATTCAAAGAGACATAAATTACTGCCATTATCATGAAACATATTTTTTATTCCACTTTGAAGGACTAGGATATATCAATAAGCAAGTGAAACTTGTCAGCATTTCCATGCTTACACACAACAGTTTATAATGGTCAGTTGATTTCAATCACTGTATACTACTATTCTACTTAAGGGGAAAAAGATTAAACCAAATGTCAGTTAAATAATTTCACTGAGAATACTTAAAACATCTTAATAGTAAAAGCATTTTTATATTTCCTATCGACATTTAAATTTGGAAAATGGTGACTGGTCCAAAAATGGTGTCACATTATTTTATGCAAGCTGTTTATCCCTTAAGCACTCACAATTCTAGGCACTCAGTCAACCCTTTCAAAATCAAAGTTATCCCCTAGATAAGATATGCTAGCCAGAATGCTACATAATGACTACTGAGATACTGACACGTATGCTACCTTTCTATGGTTTTATTTTTCTGAACCTAAGGATAAAAAGGGGGGAAAATGATGTCACTAGATAGCCCATTCATTTTATAGCCTAGAGCAGAGGTTGTTATTCTGGATTATCCTCAATGCTTATTTATAGGACCCATTTAGGAAAGAATATATTTCAAAATATAAGTTGTTTTTGAATCAAGTATTGGCTATTAGTATAATAAAAATACAGAATACAAGAGGGCTAAGGATTGCAAAGGCACAGAGATTTTTTTCATTTTATGAAATTATAATGAAGTTTTAAAATATACTTTATCGAACATCAACTATTTTAACTATAGCTAAAGAAAGAAAAAATTCATTTTTTATACCCAAATGTTTACATGGTTTTACTTTCACTCACATGAAAATTAAAAAAACACCTGAAAAAGGTTATTATATGCAAGAGTATTAAAAGGATGCAACTTTTTCCTTATATTAAAAATAGACCTATATATGAAATGTGTGCAGAAAAGAGTTAACATAGCAAGTCTGTTTATCCTTAAAGAGTTCAGCTTACATAATTGGCCTTTGGTTGGCATCTGGAAACTTAAATTTTGGGCCTCCATTCCTAGAATGGTAAACTGGTTCACTATGCCTAAACTGTTTATACAAACAATGTGGTTTATGCTAAACGCCTGTTTTCCTTCTGGGAGTCTGGAATGTTAGTACATGCCAGGCAGAGGGTGCCTATACAAGCAATCTCCAATAAAGGCCCTGGGCACCGAGGCTCTAAAGAGCTTCCTTGGTTCGCAATAGTTCATACATGTTGTCACAGTCTGCTGGGGGAATTAAACATAATTAATAACTGCTGTCTAATGTCCTGTGGGAGAAGACCCTTGTAAGTTATGCCTACTTTTGCCAGACTGCCTCAGGCATCCTTTGCCCTTGCTAATTGTGTTTGGTATACTTTCTCTGTAATAATCATCGTCATGAGTTTGACTATATACTGAGTCCTGTGAGTACTCTCAGCAAATTACTGAATCTGAGGGTGGTCTTGGAAGACCACTTACATGGAATGTATAATAGGAAAAATAAACGTTATTTTTCTAATTGTTTTGAAATAGGAAATATGTATTTATATAAAATAATACTGACTTATAGTTATAAATTTTGTGGTTAAAAGCTAAAATAATTTAAATCTGCATTTTATATAATTTTTCAGTTTTTACTTTAGTATTTTAAAACCAATTCTTTAATAATCAGTGAAATTATGCATATTGATCTATTTATATAAAGAAGACTACTAAAACAATTCCTAAATTATTTAAATTGAAGAGAAAAAATTATGCTTATAAAATCAGTGTTTTATCACAGAATCAAAGGACTTTATTATGCTTTATTAATAAAGATAGCTTTTGATGCACTTCTCCCATCCTCCACCCAGCCATCTTTAAAAACACGTGGGCTCTTACCTTGAAATGCTCCTGCTTCAATAACCCCCTCTTTGGTATTGTCAAAGCCATGAGATGTAATTTGGGTTTCTGAGAGACCAAGTCCAGCTGGTAATGAACGCTTCAAATCCTTGGCAACATTTGAATAAAAGAGAAAATTTTCATAAAATTTCTCACACCACATGGCAGTTCAGCATAATGGTGTCCTTTTACTCACATTCTAAACTATCTTTTTCTCTACTATGTAGAGAATGCTGTTGTGTCATTCGATAATGATGTATAACCAGCAGCAAACTCAGCAAGATTTGCTATTAAGAGGTATGGTGTATGTCAAATACAAAATACTTCCATTATTCTAGAACTAAGCAGCAGGCAGATACTAAAATTCAATTTTCAAATTCCTAAGCTACTGATACATCGGAAAAATCATTTTAAAGAACAAAATTAAGAGGACTAAAAAGTCTATTATGTAAAAACTGATGTCTAATACAATCATGATGAGCCTGGCTAATAGTATAAATGAATCATTCACTTGCAATATTAATTTTCCTTTGGTTTCAAGGTTAGCTAGGTAAGCAAAGCTTCCTGGATTTCAATCAGGGTGAGGTAAAGGAAATTTTCTGCTATTTAAATTTATGTTAAACACTGATAGTAGTCAACCCAACTGCAAATTAGCTTCTAATTGGAACTTAGCTGTAAAGAATGTAATATTCCACATTTCGCCTTATAGTTTAAAAAAAAAAAGAAAGAAAGCTAAGAAACACAGATTTCCGAAAGTCCTTTCTTTTCCTCTGGCTTGGATATGAAGAATTACCCAATTTTCATAATCAGAGTCTGTGAATGGATTCCCCTGGTTTCACACAATAATGACAAATGATGCACTAAAACAAAAATAAGTCTTTGAAATCCTTTCTTAATATGGTACCACATCACATATAATGTACAGTTACAATTTGAAAACTCAGGACTAACATTTTAAATTTTCTAATTGGCAAAGTTTAAATTTTTTTTTAAAGATTTTAGAAAAAGAGAAAAGGGGGGGAGGGGCAGAGGGAGAAGGAGAAAGAGAATCTTAAGCAGACTCCGCGTGGAGCCTGACACAGGGCCTGATCTCAGAACCCTGAGATCACGACCTGAGCTGAAAACAAGAGTCAGACATTTAACTCACCGAGCCACCCAGGCTCCCTAGCAAAGTCTACCTTTAACAGATAAATAACTGGCAAATGTTGAGATGGGTTTTTCTTGAGCTCATTAATCTTGCTTAGGCAATTATTCGATTGGTATGGTGGACCCTAATGAATTAGTAACTAATGAAGTCAATTCTCATCAAACAACATTTGACTTATCAAATTTATCAAACAGTATTTGACACAGGTAACTGTTCCCTCCTTGTAATTTCAACCCCCCCAGCTAACTTCAGACACTCTTGACTTTCCTCTTACATCATCTGTTATGTTTTACTGTCTCCTTTGCTCATTCCTCCTCATTTCCCCAACCTCCAAATTCTGGAGTGCCCCAGGGTTCAGTCAGAGGACTTTTTCTCCTATAGCCACTTCTTCGGTGATCTAATTGATTCTTCTGGCTTTAAAAACCATCTATACGTTGACAACTTCCAAATTTAGGTGTCTTACCTGGGCCTCCCTCTTTAACTCCAATATATCTGATTACATACTTCTTATTTCGACTTGGATATTAAATACGCATCTCAAACTTAATGTGTCAAAAACTGATTCCACAGTAAATCCCCAACCCCCAACAGACAAAACAAAATAATACCACCTATATTTTCACTCCTTTCAGTTAACAGCATCTCTATTACCAAAATCTTAGCCCAAATCTTAAGAATTATGTTTGATTCTCTCTTATGTCCACATCCAAACCATTAGCAGATTCTATCAAATTTACTCTCAAAATATATCCAGGATCAAACCAATTCTCACCACTTCCACTGCTACCACTCTGGTCTAATAAGCTGGCATCATATTTCAACTGGATTACTCCAAGAACCTTTTAATTGGTCTCCCTGCTTCTATCCAAGACAAACACCTCTAAATCCACACATCAACCAAAATTATCCTGCATGTAAAAACTCTCCAATAGCCTCCCATCTCATTGAAGAAAACCCAGACTGTAAAATGTTCTCAAGGCACTACATGATTTGACTTCATCTCCTACCAGCCTCAGGCTTACAGCCACACAGCTACTTCAAAAACAAGAATCTTTGTTGAAGAGCCTTGTATTTCCTGTTCCCCTCCCCCCCGCCCCCCCCGCAAAGCTTTCCTACCAGACATCTACAGGGCTTGCTCCTTTAGTCAGAGAGACTAATGGCAACTCTCAGGGAACCTGGGTGGCTCAGTCAGTTAAGCGTCCAACTCTTGGTTTTGGCTCAGGATGCGATCTCAGGGTCATGGGATTGAGCCCTGCATCGGGCTCCGTGCTCAGCAGAGAGTCTGCTTGAAATTCTCTCCGTCTGCCCACCCCCAACTCTAAAATAAATAAATCTTTAAAAAATAAAATAGTAAAAAACTAAACTAAATTAAAATAGGAACTCTCACAACGTCACACTGGAAGTCCCTATTCTGCTTACTGTTTTATTCTTCTCATAGCAGGTATCTCTCAGTATTTGTGTTTATTTTTATCTCTTCTCTCTATATACTGTAAGCTTCATGAAAACAGGGATATTGCCCATTTTGTTTACTGCTATATATTTAGCACCTGAAATAGTGCCTGAGATATAGATGTTCACTAAATATTCGTCGAATGAATAAATGAATTTGTTGAAAGGACTTGTGATTCAACACCATATAGATTAACTTGGTTTATTTTTAAATTTAGTGAATGAATAAATGAATTTGTTGAAAGGACTTGTGATTCAACACCATATATATTAACTTGGTTTATTTTTATTTTTTTAAAGATTTATTTATTTATTTGAGAGAGCAAGAATGAGAGAGAGAGAGATTACATAAGAGGGAGGAGGGTTAGAGGGAGAAGCAGGCTCCTCGCTGAGCAGGGAGCCCCATGTGGGACTCGATCCAGGGACTCCAGGATCATGACCTGAGCCGAAGGCAGTCGCTTAACAACTGAGCCACCCAGGCGCCCCTAACTTGGTTTAATTTTAAATTTAATGAGTTTTTGTTGACTCCTGCTGTATCCTAGACTTTCTAGGCGAAGAAAAAGGTAAGGTACAGTCCTTGCCTCACTGGAGAGGCAAGATATACAAATATTAATATAAAAGTTGAACTTGTTGCCAAAGTAAAGACAATAGGTATCAGAGGAATTCAGAATAGGGACTAAATCTATGAGAACCAAATAGGAAAAGTGAAGTACCGCTTGAGCTCTGAAACTTAAAGGATTTATTTATTCATTGTCCCAACATTTAATGAACACCAATGACAGCTACTGCCCTAGCTACAGATAGAGCAGTGTAGGAACTAGTCTCTGCCCCAGTCAGACTCACATGGGGGAAGGAAGGTGAAGGAGCCTGATAGTAAACAAATAAATGTATGTCAGTAATAAGTGCTGTAAGTAACAAGTAGTAAGTAAATTTTTTTTTTTTTTTTTTTTTTAAGGCAGGGTAAGAGAGATACAGAGTGACAGGCAACCAGTGCTACTTTGGGTGGGCAGATTCCTGGAAGCAGTGTGAGGGAGTGAGCCGTGTGAGCTTTATGACACAATTCCCTTATCAGATGTACGATCTGCAAATATTTTTTCCCATTCTGTGAGCTGCCTTTTAACTTTCTTCATGGTGTTCTTTGAAGCACACAAGTTTTAAATTTTGATTAAGTCCAATTTATCTATCTTTTGTTGCTTACGCTTTTGGTGTTGTATCTAAGAAACGAAAGTGCTTAAACCAAAGTCATGAAGATTTATACCTGTTTTTTGTTCTAAGAATTTTATATTTGTAGCTCTTATATTTAAATCTTTGATTCATTTTGAGTTAATTTTTTTAAAGATTTTATTTTTAAGCTACCCCTACACCCAACGTGAGGTTCAAACTCACAACCCCAAGATCAAGAGTTGCATGATCCACTGACTGAGACAGCCAGGCGACCCTTGAGTTAATTTTTTAGTATGGTGTGAGGTCTGCATCCAACTTCATTATTTGCATATGGATATCCAGCTGTCCCAGCACCATTTCTTAAAGACTATCCTTTCCTTATTGAAGACTCCTGCCGCCCTTGGTGAAATTCAACTGACCACCAATGTAAGGGTCTACTCCTGTACTCTCAATTCTGCTCCACTGGCCTATGCCCCCCTCATGTGAGTACCATACTGTTTGATTACTGCAGCTTTGTAGTAAGTTTTAAAATCAGTGAGCCCTATAACTGTTCATCTTTTTAAAGACGTTTCTGGCTAGGATCTCGATTTTACATTTGACCAATTTGTCGATTTCTACAAAAAAACAGGATTTGATAGAGATTATGTTGAATATGATTAATTTGGGGAGCACTGCCACTTTAATGAATTAAGTCTTCTGATCCATAAACATGTGATGTCCTTCCACTTAACTTAGATCTAACTTTTTTCACCAATGTTCTATAGCGTTCAGTGTACAAGTGTTGCACATATTCCTGAGTACTGAAATTTTTAAAATTTTGTTTTTGCATTATTTATTCCTTAAAAATAAATTGGGCTTTGCAATAATGCTCTTGTACCTCAAAACTTTGCTGAACTTATCAGTTCTAATAATTTGAAATTGTGTGTGTGTGTGTGTGTGTGTGTATTCCTTAGGAGTTTCTATATACAAGACCACATTGCAAATAGAAATAGTTCTATCTCTTCCTTTCCAATCTTGATGCCTTTCATTTGTATTGTTGTTCTTTATATCTTATACATTTTGTGCCAACATTCTTTTACATCTAATATTTAATAAAAACATTAAAAAATAGGGCGCCTGGGTGGCTCAGTTGGTTAAGTGACCGCCTTCGGCTCAGGTCATGATCCTGGAGTCCCGGGATCGAGTCCCGCATCGGGCTCCCTGCTCAGCAGGGAGTCTGCTTCTCCCTTGGACCCTCTTCCCTCTCGTGCTGTCTCTCATTCTCTCTCTCTCAAATAAATAAATAAAATCTTTAAAAAAAAAAAATAGTGGTAAAACCTATGCATACTCAGCATCCAGAATTTTTCATT